AGGTCATTCAAGGGGAAAACAAAGCATCTGATCAAACTGCATTCATTTTCAGCACAGAAGAACAAGAAGAAAACCAATCACAAAAACACATGGTAAAAATCAACCAAGATGTCGGTTCCTGCCTTACAATTTGCAAGCTTAGATAGTTTCTGCGAGGTCTGGTGAATCCCGAGCCCGATCTTGGATGCCTTACGGTTGAATTAACTAAAATAATATAATTTTTCTGAAAAAAAGGAAACATAATCTTTTCAACAACTGCCGAATATGGGATAATATATTCAGAAGAGTTAACAAACAAAATCTTTTAATATATTTTCACACATAACAACAATTTCACATCATCAACCATTTCTTTTTAATTTAAAAACAATAACCCACAAGCAATACAGAATATATTCGGAAAAGGGCTCCCAAAATTGCTTTGAATTAATAAACAAGAAGACCTGAACTGTGTGAGATTGAATACTGAGAGCGACGCACAGTCCACAGACTCCACCGCCTTCGGTCGTCCAGCTGAGCTGCTACTTCTGCTCGGAATTGAAATATGGAAATTTAAGGGTTTACTGTTTGCACTTTTTAGCCGGTTTCACATGGAGTTTGGGACCTTGGGTGGATTTTGCTCTGCCGGTTTTAATTTCCTTATTCCGAGCAGTTTAGATACAATGGCTAAACTATTGCTGGCAATTTTCTGATATTCAGTGGAATTCTTCTTTAGATTCGTTCACTTCATTGAGAGAAAGGAGAGAGTGAGCGAGCGATTTAGGGTTCCTCGACTTGGGGGATTGGTGTGTGTTGCTCTACTTTTTTTCTTCAATAATTCAATTTTGTCAGACACTCTTTGAAAATTTTGTACAATTTCTTTGATTGGTCTAATCTCATTTAATTAGGACCTATAGGATATTTAAATTTGGTTTTAAGGATAAATATGTTTAAAATTGTCTAAATTTGACATTCTTGTAATGTAAAAAAAAAAAGTGACATTTTTGTAAATACAACACCAAAAGTTGACTGTTTTGATAATTTCCTCTTATATTATTTATTTGCGATGTCACATCAAATAATTTTCTAAAACAAGCATTTCATGAAATAAGTAAAGTCAAATTAAGGTTAAGTCTTTGTTTGTTAAATTTATAAATGGTTTATAAAGATAAATAGTAGTGGATCATATGAAATGGTTTATAAATTGGTGATGGGTGATTTTACGGGGTGGGGAAGAAGCTAGATTTTTATCTCTTTTTTTTTTTATTTCCTTTTTATTTAATTACTTCATTGTTTAATATGAAAGCTATAAAATTATTATTTTGTCCTTTTAAAAAATTAAAAATTTGGTCAAAATACATTTCTTTGGTCAATTAACGATCAAATGGACGAAATCCATCTATCTGTCCTCCAAATGCAATGAAATTGAAGGTTTGGGATCGTAGGTGACACAAATTAAAAATTGGTTAAAGTCTACAAAAAATTGAAGATTTGGGACTGTAGTTAAAAAACAAACTTTAAGTAGATTTTCAATAAAAGTTACATAATATGTGGTTGAAAAATTGATTAAAATTGGGAGTTCCATGAAATATGTTGTTAAAATTAACTTTTGACATTAAATTTAGATTTTCATTAATTTTTAAAGCGACATGACAATGAAATTAATTTTTGATGTCGAAATATATACATACGTTAATGCTGTCCATATTCTTGACCTAGTCCTTCAAGGTATAATTTGGAGAATTCAATGTAACAATCAAAAACTGTCTTATATTCTCTCACTTGCAAGTTGCAACAAAAAATTTAAACTCAACCGATGAAACTTTTAGTCACAATATTTTGCACTTTTTCCTTTTAATTAACATTATCAAGTTTGATCTGATTTCACTGTCGAACTTCTTTATTATACGCAAACATTTTACGCAACCATCAATAATATCAGCATTTACGTCGAACTTCTTTATTATACGCAAACTTCTTGATCAATGATTGCTGAAAAGTGAGAACAAATTTTCACAATCAAGCTGTCCAACTAGTTGAGAACAAGTCCATTTCGTGAGCTATTATGCTCTATGGCAATTGAAAGAACGTTCCATCCATCAGCCAAGTTGTTCAAAAGAAAAAAATAATAATAATAATAAATAAATCAAAACAGATCATTGGTCATTTTCGAGTTTCATATCTGCTGCTTTCTTTATTTAGTCGAATAATGAAATAATAATCAACCTCCAACGAATCTTTATATATTTGTCGAATATCATCTATCAATAAAAAAGTATCTGCTATTTTCTCATTTACAACTCACCAGCATAGAATCATGAACACAACCATGCCTTCAAACACCACCAAAGAAGTGGTCCACGACCTCTCTCCTTATCTTATGGAGTACACAGATGGAACCATCGAGAGATTCGTAGTTACACATAATGTCCCACCGTCACCGGAGGACCCAACTACTGGCGTAGCCTCCAAAGACATAATGGTCAGTTCACCGGAGGTTAAAGCCAGACTATTCCTCCCAATCCCAAAGTTAACAGACTCCAACCAAAAACTCCCCGTTTTAGTCTACTACCATGGCGGTGGATTTATCGTTGAATCCCCCTATTCTTTGCTCTTCCACCGTTACATGAACAGTTTAGCCGCCGAAGCAAAAGCTCTAATCGTTTCTGTTGAATACAGGCTCGCCCCTGAATACCTTCTACCTATAGCCTATGAAGATTCATGGACTGCCCTTCAATGGGTGGCGTCGCACGTTATTGCAAACGCTAGTATCGAAAAGGATGAATGGGTTACTAAACATGGTGATTTTGGCAAACTGTATATCGGCGGCGATAGTGCAGGTGGAAATGTAGCGCATAATATTGTTCTCCGAGCTGGGGTGGAACCGTTGCCTGGGGATGTGAAAATCTTAGGTTCATTTCTATCTTGTCCTTATTTCTGGGGATCAAAACCAGTTGGGTCGCAATCAAAAGAAAATTTGAAAGGTTTTGCTTATAAAGTTTGGATGTGTATTTATCCACCAGCCTCTGGTGGGATTGACAATCCAATGATCAATCCATTTACAGAGGACGCCCCGAGCTTATCCGGGCTGGCATGTTCAAGGCTGCTGGTTTGTTTAGCAGAGAAGGATGCATTTACGCCTAGAGGCATTCTTTACGTTGAGACTCTGAAGAAAACTGGGTGGAATGGCGAAGTGCAGCTGGTGGTGGTTGATGGCGAGGATCATTGCTTTTATCTGCCCAATCCTAACACTGAGAAAGCAAAGGATCTGATTAAGCTTTTGGCTTCTTTCATTTCTTAAACATGATCTTCTCAAGTAAACATGCAGATTCCGATTGTTGTAGAAATTTCTGTAGAACATGTTTGTTTAAGTAAATAATGTTGAAATATAAGTAAATAAGTTTTTATTGGTTAGAGTTGAAAATAAATTATTTAATTCAAAATTTAATCATTACATACATGCTCAGATGCAAAAATTTTATGTAAGTTTTTTTCTTGTTAAGCTCCTGTTTTGTTTAGATAAAAATCACTCTTGTAGATTTTATAAATCTTGATGGAATGTGTGGTTGAATGTTGTGGATCTAACGAAATATGTGATTAAAATTAAATCTTGACTTTAATTAAAATTTTAATATATTTTCTAAGTTGAACCAGACAAGGGCTTAAGCTTGGCAGACATGCCATGTCAAAAATGTATCATGAAAGAATTACTTTTTTTAATTTATGTTGCAAGCATTACTTTAATTTGAATAAGAGCTGTAGGCGACAATCAACAGTCAAACTCAAACTGTCAATTTGGTGCTACATCACTCCGTTGCAAAACGTCTTTGAACCACACAAAATCATTTTAAAAGGATTTGGTTTAGATTTCAGTATTTTATCTGCAGTTGAAAACCAAAACACAATTTTAAGAATTGAAATCTATATAAATTAAAACTTTATATCTCGGCAAAAATTGGTTCAAATTGGACTAGGGTTGAACTCCTAAATTAAAATATTAACCTCCAAATAAAGCTATAAATACTGATGTTTAAAGTATGAGCTCTTTGGTCATACAACAAGCCCTCTTCTTGACGGCGCAAACGTCGAAGTCCAGAAAGCATCACACAACCCATTCTTGCTCTCACAAGATGAAGAACGAGAAGATCTTTTTGAAAATTATAACGTTGTATCGTGACTTCATATTATATTTTTTAATTTTCAACAGATTTAGCTTATGAAAGTATCTGGAACATTTTTTTTTTCTTAAAAGAAAAATTCCACGACAGTTAAANACAAAAATAATTTTAATTACTGAACTAGTAATGTTAGAGCAAGTAGGAAGATAAGTATATGATTTAGGTTTGAATTTTTTCTTGAACCATTTTGTAGAGTTTAGCTTAAAAATGTGTTATAAACCCTCCAAACCTAACCCGTTACACCCTTGATTTATAAAAGCAATATAGTATTAGTTGTAATATGTATTACCCGTTGACATTTTAGTATGCGATATTATATAGTTTAGAAATACATATATAATAGCCTCCTAGAATATGGTATATGACTCCAAGACTGACTATTACAAGTTGGCTAATTATAAAATTTTAAATAAAAAATAAAATTTTGAATTTTGTCTTCAAAACCCTTTTTCAATTGTTTAATCAAGCGCAAGGACAGATTATTTATTTATTATTTTTTTTTTTGTCTCTATTTATTAAAATTTAGCTCATGATAGTTTCAATTTAAATTAGATTAGTCAAAATATCTTTTTATCCATACATGTAGTAGGATTCACAATTACTAATCATTTATAATTTAAATAACTTATAAATAATCCCAACAAGTATTTAGTATTTGTTTGATACCGATTTTAAGTGATTATAAAATGTGAATACTATGAACTATAATGGGAATCTTAGAGTATCTGTTTATAGTGGTCTTCGGCTTGTGATGTAAGTAGTTTTTGTTGAACATGTAGTGTCCCTATTTTTATCTAAAAATGCATTTTTTCCATCAAATCAATGTGGGACCTACACCAATATTTTATCATTTGATTTGAATTTAAAAATCCTAAGTTTCCAACTTTACCCTTTGTCACAAATGCAGGAATTTGGCAGCTTCCACATATTGAAAAGTCAAATGAATTGATTTGCTACACATTTCCCAATACTTCATATCTCCACCAAACGTGTTTCAATTATTGTACATGCACTGGGCCCTCCGTCGTCGCCCCCTGTATTGGTTTAAAAGGTTGTCACAGAAATCCGGCAACGATTGTAACATTACGCGAACGGACCGTGATTTTCACTTCACATTAATTATCGAATTTTTCCAAATAAATTTCGAAAATGAAAAATGATAAAGACCATCTTGAAATTCAATTGTACACTAATTCCAGCGTATATGTTCGTTGTAAATAATAAAATATTTTTGTACGGAACGGGTTATGTTTTCAAAAAAAATAACTTCGGAAAATAAAAAAACTTAAATTTTGAAACATTTCACTGTATCAACTGCTCTCGAGAGTGTCTACGAATAGAAGCATTTTAATTTTATTACGAAGCGTTACGTACCAAAAAAATTGAAATCGCACGGTGAACATTTGTTACGTGACGAGTAAAGCGAAGGGTGTGTTCGAAATGAAGGAAAAATACGACGTCAAGGTGAATAATTATTCGTACAAAACACTGTACAACTGCGTAGGTCCGGAGAAAAATTTTATAGTTCATTGTACCGAGAAAAAGCATACCGTAAGCACGTTAAAAAAGGGAAATACTTTGACCTATGATACTTTCCTGAATGATGGTCAATAATTGGCTCCTACTGCATTTCACTTTTTACACCCAAGAAAGCAAACATTTTCATAAGACGTACATGCAAGCCTTTTGAATATTTTAGAAACGTATTGGCATCATGGTTGCTGTGCCATATAATCTCGAAGTCTGTCCCACTCACTTCGTTGTATTTCCGGTGCATGCATTTCGGCCTGTGTTTCATCTTCTACGTTGGGAAGCTCCACCTCAGCTACATCTTCATCCACCTCCGCTCTCGTGAACGCAGCATCAACCACTCCTGAACGCCTCATGAAATTATGTATTCCCATCATTGCAACTACAATGGCTACTTGCGTTCGGAACGGGTAGCTAGGCATGCGATCCAAGATCTTCCACCTTTCTTTCCACACACCGAACGCACGTTCAATGACATTTTTGCAGGACGAGTGCCTGAAGTTAAACTTCTCTCGTGCATTTCGAAATCTATGACGACGTCCCGTTCTCTCGTCTCGAAACTGCTGGAAATGGTAAAGTATGTCAGACCCTTTGTAGGGGGCCATATACCCAGGCCGATGAGCAAACCCGGAGTCAACTAAATAGTACTTTCTCGGGGCTGGTAATGGAAAATGTATTTTCGGATCATGGATAGCACGTGCTAGCATGCGCGCATCATGTGTATTGCCAGAGTACCCTGCAAGCACGAACGTAAAGCATAAATTAAAGTCACAAGCAGCTAAAACGTTCTGTGTCGGCACACCTTTCCACCCTATGAAGTTTACACGATCATGTCGCGGTAAAACAGCTTTTACATGCGTTCCGTCAATAGCTCCGATGCAATCTTCAAACAATGAATGCTTGCTCAGATTTGGCCTATGTGGCTCGACACCGTCGTAGTTCTCACTAGGACGAATCATGCGCGCTGAAAGCACAACGACCGCACGTAGAACCTCTTTAACGTAGTGACATACAGTTTCCAATGAATGGTTGAAAATTGTTGTCACCTGTCGATATCCCTTCCTATGCGCTAATATGCATAAGAACATGCCAACTTGCTCGTAGATGTCAACATGCTGGTTCGTACGTAGCCCATGCTCATCGCGCAACACATGAGTGAAATGTCGAAGCATTGCAGGATACATACGGAATTCTTGAAAGCACATCTTACTATTCTCACCCATGGCCTCCATCATGAACATGTGACCGTTCCTTGAGAAAGGAAAACGTCATATACGCCGCTGTTGCCTGTAGTGATATTTTCTTGCGTCATCGTCGACGATTCTGCAGTATGAAAACCAAGCGGTGGTATCGATCGCCAAGTTGTAGAGAACCTGGTCGTCATCGCATTCGTCATCTGAGTTGGACCCCAGAACGCAGTTGAAGTTGACGTCAGTTGTGACGCAACACATGATCAATTGGTAAAATTACACAATAGCAGCGAGATATGGACTTCTGTGGAACGCAAGTTCATCTCACATCCTCAAGCTACACATTTTTTTCGTTTCTACTGCGTGCATGTCTTTTTATAGAAAGTGGGAATGACTGGGAGTACATTCTATGCAATGGTGTACTATAGCTGTCAATTTGGACGCACTGTATCAATAATTGTGCACTTTCAAAAAATATTCAAGAGATTCTGTGCAACAGTGTCATATAGCTGTCATCTTGTAGGAAATGGGCCAATAATGGTGCACTTGTAAATAATATTTTCTCGTGAAACGTGATTTTCTTTAGAAAAACTTTTTGTGACAGTTTTTCAAATTTCACAAGTTTTAAGTGTAAACAATTTTTTTTAACGTCCAAACTTTTCGCGTGCGTACATGGTAACTTCGCAAGGCAAGATCGTGGAAAATATCATTTTACAAGCAGTTTGACCTGAAATGTTGCACATGTAAAATATTAACACGATGAAATGATCATGGTGAACAGTCTAAAACGGTTTGCACATCACAGGCACGCAGCGTATTTACATACAGTACTTTTAAAAGGATACAAACAGTTGAGTACGAAAGGGAAACGGTTTTTCGTGACAACACACAAGTAAATGTAACGCGTACAGTGAAATGTGAAATTACTTGCCCCGCTCATTGAAGAGCCACTCAATTCATTCAAATTTCTCATCCAAATCTTTCATAACGGCGAGCATGTTTCGGTAATGTTTTTCGCCAGAATAGCACAGGCGAAAAAGTATAGAGGTGTACGCCGTTCGAGCCGTCCAGCCGCCAGTAGCTCCTCTATACAGGCAGTGCCGGTGTTGTCATTTGAGCCCATCATGGTATTAAGCTTCGCCATCACTTCCTCCGCGGCACTTATGGCTCAGTCGACGGAGAACGACAACTCACGTGCAGGTGTTTTTTCTTCTTACCCCGTCGCATTGCACCGGACGACTTTCTTTTACCACCGCTTGTGGTGTCGGATACGTTTAAGCGGGATCCACCGACCATTTGCTTAGCCTCGTCACTTGAACCACTACTTTCCTTGTCGACGGGGATTGCATCCCGAGTGTCTTCAAGCGCACTGTCCTCAAACAACCCAAACCCCGTTCGGCACAACTTAGTTGGCGTGACCGCGTACTTCTCCCCATCGTAGCTGTTGCCAAAAAGTGTACGATAGTGAATGTATATCTCGCTCACATCCTTGTCTTTGAACTCCCTGTA